CCAGCCCGTCATCGCGCATCACCATCTCGCGGGCCACATCGAGCAGCAGCGGCAGCAGCGTGTCCGTGTCCGGGCGCCTGGGCCGCAGCAAGCGGAAGCGGCTGGAGGTGGAGGAGCCGCTGGGCACGGGCTCCAGCGGCACCGGCTCCAGCAGCAGCAGCTTCCGCCTGGCCCAGCAGGCCTCGGCCTCGGGCAGCATCAGCATCGAGGAGATCGACCTGGAGGGCAAGTTCGTGCAGCTGAAGAACAGCTCGGACAAGGTGAGGCCCCCACCCAGCCCGTGGGGAGCCCGCTGGGTCTTCTCGGAGACGTGGGCCAACGCCCGTCCCCTTTGCCAGGATCAGTCTCTGGGCAACTGGAGGATCAAGAGGCAGATCCTAGAAGGGGAGGAGATCGCCTACAAGTTCACGCCGAAGTATGTGCTGCGGGCCGGCCAGACGGTCACGGTAGGTGGCTGCGGAGAGGGAGCGGGCGGGATGTGAGGTGCGACTGGGATGGGGTGGGGGGACCGGGGTGCGGGGGGAGAGCATTACAGGGATGGAGCCCCGGCGCTGAGAACAGCTGCCTGCTGTCACAGATCACCCGTGTGCCAGTGTTTCTTCATCCGGGCTTCCCTGGAGCCCTTGGGAGGGCCTAAGTGATGTGCTGGGGGTCCATGGTGGAGGTGGGGCTGAGTCCAGGCTGTCTGGGCTGTCTGTCCAGGCACTGGTGAGACACATGACAGCCAATAGGCATGGACTCTAGGGCTTCCGATTCCAGCCTGGCCCGTTTGCCCTGGTCACTGTGAACCTCAGTCTCTTCTACCATACCCTGGTGACTGTCATCTCTAGCCAGGACCCAGTAGGGCCAGGAGGATTAAACACCCAGGGCATCGAGGGAGCCTGTGATAGAGGGCCGGCTGGTGGTACATGCCACTGGGACCGGAGCTGACATTAACCGGGAGGCCCTCCTGTGTCCCCAGGTATGGGCAGCCGGTGCAGGGGTGGCTCACAGCCCCCCGTCAACGCTCGTGTGGAAGAGCCAGAACAGCTGGGGCACGGGCGAGAGCTTCCGGACCATCCTGGTCAATGCTGACGGGGAGGTGAGCACCTCCCTCTGCCTCGGTCCTGGCGTCCCTCCTGGGGTGGGGACTTGGCCAGCAGGGCACGTGAGCGCAGCTTGGGCCAGGTCCTGGGCATCCGAGCATCCTGACCACCTCGCCTGTGGGCTGGGCCCCCAGCACCTGGGGTGGCCGTCTGCAGCTGCTGTGTCGTCTTGCACAGGAAGTGGCCATGAGAACCGTGAAGCAGTCCTCGGTGGCGCGGGAGGCCGAGGACGGGGAGGAGGGTGAGGACGAGGCGGCCGAGTTTGGAGAGGAGGATCTTTTCCATCAGCAGGTAGAGGCTCCCAGGCGGCACGCGCACACTCGCACGTGCACACGCTTGTGGGCTCTGTTTACGTGGCTGCTCTGGGCACCTCCCAGGTCTCGCCCTGGCTCGGCCAGGCCGCAGAGCTCACAGCCAGAGGCAGGCCATGGAGCCAGTTGCCCTCGCCTCCCGGGCTTGCTTGTTGTGTGGACCTTAGGGTACTGGCCCGGGCACCCTGGGAGTGGGGTGTTCAAAGCCTGTTGCATCTCAAAGTGACTCTGGTGGAGCCCTGAGGGTTCTCAGCGAACCCCCTGTTACCACGTTTCCTCCAGAGTGGGGTGCTGGTGGCTTAATAATGGCTGTGGGGGGAAGGTGGGGAGCCAAGGAACCACACTGAATGAGATATAAGTGCAAGACGCTCCGGGGTCTGAAACAATTGTACCGTGTTCTGTAGCTCAGAACAGAGGTGAGGGAGACATGGAAGGTTCTGGAACAGGGACCATTGAGGCTGGGGTCATCTTGCTGGGAGCTGAGCTTCTCATGGTGGCTCAGGCCCTGCCCCGCTCCAGCCCCTCCTGAAGGGGGCTGGGGCCACCAGCCACCTTCCTGGCCTCCTCACTGGTGCCATCCTTCCTTGCAGGGGGATCCGAGGACCACCTCTCGAGGCTGCCGCGTCATGTGAACCGAACATGCCTCGTCACACGTCTTTCTTTATCCAGGGCCACTGAAAACTATTTTTATATCGTTGGCTTCTTTAGTCCTTGGTACATTTCTAGAGAGTTTTTAAGCGAACTGCCAGAGCGTGGGGGTGGGTCTCTGCTGAACTTTCCTGTCGCTGGGTTTCCCTGGGCCCTTCATCACCACTGTCCAGAGTGTTAAGTGCCCCGTTCTCACCTTTCAGTTGAGCTTGGGGCCCAGGAGCCGAGTGGCTAGCGGGCTTTGGGCTGGGAGTCCAGGGGGCCCGTCCACCGCTTCGGTCTCAGCTGCAGCCTGGGGTCAGGGCGGGAGAGGAGGCCTGAGGTGGACAGAGCAGAACTGCACGTAGGAATCCAATAGTTGTTGGTTTTATTAAGCTTTTAAAAAAACCAGATTCAGAATCCAGGTTCTGACCTGGTGGGGGGAAGGGGCACCCTGTGGAAGTTTGGTGGCTCAGCCAGCCGAGCACCAGAACAAGGGAATCGCAGGCTTTTGCCGTCAGGCCTGGGCTTGGGGTTTGTCACAGTCTCTGCTCTGCTCTCAGGAATGGGGTGCGTGGGGTCGGCCTCCTGGCTCCCTCTCTGGCCGCTGGAGCCTCACGCTTCTGGGGCTCTCTGCAGCTGAGTTCCTCACCTTACGGGGATCCGTTATAAGACTTGTCCTCAGGTAAGCCTTGAGGGGACAGGTGTGACGAATTCGGAAACAAATGCCTTGGGCTCCAGCACGATGTCCACCTGTAACCACCGCTTCCCACCCTCCCGTGGGAGGAGGGTGACTTCAGGGCGAGACGCTGGACTCCCCGTGCTCCGACTCCGTGCCTTGTGCACAGGGCACGCTGACTCACGTGTATTCTTGGGCATGTACTCATATCGCGGCTTCCTCTGTAACTTCTTGCTGAAATGGTGTTCCTGAGACAGACCTGCCCGGGCCAGTTGACCCCTACGGGATGGCTCCATGTCACGGTCCAGCTTCTGGCCGCCTGGCCGCCCCCTCCCTGCATCAGCTTACCTTCGACGCCTCTGCCACGTAGATACACAGAAGTTATTTTTTTAACGGATATTTATTTTTTTACATCGGTCAGTACACACATTGCCTGGATCCCACCTCAGGGGCTCATGTATGCCAGGGTCACCAGGACAGTCCCCCGAGGGGGTGGCATTGGGGCGCCTGTCTCTGTGGGCTCTGAGGCCCCAGACGGCAAACTTCTTTCAGTAAGCGCAGCTCAAGTCTTAAAAGACGCAATACTGAGCCATGGAGGTGGCCTGCCCCCACCCCAGGCCGGGAGCAGCCCGCCTGCCTCCTTTCCCTGGGAATCGATCATGGCGACGAGGGCCCGAGGCCTGAGCCCCAGGCCGGGAAGGTGCCAGTGGCCGACAAAACTAAGCTGCTTCTGAGTCTAGAATCCCCTGCAGACTCTGGCTTTAAGTCCGAGCACCTTTCCGTGGCCACCTGAGTCCCTGGACCGCGGGCTGTCTTCCTTCTCCCAGAAGTAGCAGGAGCTGAGGGAGCGTGAGGGTCTGGGGAGCCTGATGAGATGCTGGGAGGGTGGGGCTGGGTGGCACTCCAGCAAGTGGGAACTGCACTGGCTACATCCTTCAGGGTATTTTGAGAGTCTCTGGGGATCAGAGGTCTGTCCTGGAATTTGGGGTCTGAATTGCTGAAGCAGTTTTGCAGGCTGGGCTCGAGGACAGGAAGGAAGGGAGAGGGCCCCACCCTCCCTGCAGGCCCAGAGGTCCTGAAAAACAGCCCAAGGGCTGCCCTAGTGCCTGCAGAGCCCCCAGGCTCACTGGTAGGGGTTGTTCCCAGCAGATGAATTTTCTTGCCTGCTTGAGATCTTGGGTGGAGCCTGAAGTGGCCCAGACAGGCGCTGGGATGCCCTTGGCTGGTGGGGGGAGGGTGCACTGGACTGGTGGCCACTTGTGGCTGGAGGCTGGTGACCGTCATTGGTAATCAAGTATTTGAAAACACGGAGCAGAGTCCAATGTTACAATGTCAGCCAGGGCCTGGGAAATCGAATTTGCATTTGTCCTTAAACATACTTAACATTAAGCCACTTAAAATGATGCAGAAGCGATTCTTTTTTCTAAGCCCCTGTCATGTGATGAGGAGCACCCTTCCGGAGAAAACCCACTCTTCCCAGCCCTGGGGAGGGACGGCCTCCGGGGATGTGGCCGGCAGGAATCAACCCCTGGGAGACACCAGTGCCTCCCCCCGCTCCCCGCCCGCGGTCTGGGCGCTCAGCTGTTGCCACAGCAGCCAAGCTCAGACTTGGGCTCGTTTTTACCCACACCGTCTACCCAGCAGTTCTATTTATATCAGCATATCCGAGCTGGGACTGACATTCCTCAAGGACATTAAAGCTACTGGAAAGGTCTTAATTCTGAGCCCGAAAGGGATCATCAGCACTACACGCTAGTGGGCTCGGTTTCAAGAACTCGGCTGTTTGGACACGTTTCAGAGATCTGTTGGTGGTTTTTACGATGCATGCCAAACGTGTGGTCTTTTGTTTTCTCCGATTTGTAATACACGTTTTATGACTGGAAACTTTTTTATACAACACTCCAATAAACATTTTGGTTTTAAATTCTCCCTCTGAGTCTACTCCCACGCCAGGCTGCTGAAGCTGGAGCCCCAGCCCCTAGTGAAGCGGGTGTCTTAGGATCCTACCCTCTGGTCCCGCGGCCCCCTAGTTTTCTGCATTCTTTTCCCACCTGATGCACTGCCACTCCACAGTGCTTTTGGTCACGTGACGCCCTGGTTTAGCACGGAGGGACCCTTGGCGGGGCGGAGCCTGAGCGCGGAGGGGCGGGCCTCTGGCCCCGTGTCCCTCCCTTCTCCCCGGAGTCCTACACGGGAAACCGACTCTGGTCCGCCCTTGTCTGCGCATGCGCGGGAGGCCCCGCGCGGCCTTATTGGAGCTGTAGTCCCGCCCGCCAGCGCATTCGGACGCCATTTCCCGTGGGGCCCTGCGGTGTCCGACTTCCGGCGTGGGTGCAGGTGGGCACACGCTGCCGCTGTCCGGTTGACTTTGCGGAGCCATGGAGGGTGGCTTCGGCTCGGATTTCGGGAGCTCCGGCGGCGGGAAGCTGGACCCTGGGCTTATCATGGAGCAGGTGAAAGTGCAGATCGCCGTGGCCAACGCGCAAGAGCTGCTGCAGGTCCGGGGCGGGGGCGGGGGGCCGAGGGTGGCGGGGGCCGCCGGGGGCCGGCGTCGCAACTGAGGGCTCGCGTGTCCCCACAGAGGATGACGGACAAGTGCTTCCGGAAGTGCATCGGGAAGCCGGGGGGCTCCCTGGACAATTCGGAGCAGGTAAACGCGGGGGGCCGGCGGGGTCGCGGGCCCGGACCCGGCGGGGAGGTCTCTGCGCATGCACGCGGACTAACTGGGCGACGCGATGGGGCCGCGGCGCGTGCGCAATCCGCTGCCGGGGTGGGGGGGCGCTGGCCGCGGTCCAGACCTGAGCCGTGCGCCCTCCCCGTCCCCAGAAGTGCATCGCCATGTGCATGGACCGCTACATGGACGCCTGGAACACCGTGTCCCGTGCCTATAACTCGCGGCTGCAGCGGGAACGAGCCAACATGTGACCGCGACGCGCCAGCAGGCCACCCCCCAGCCTTGCCCTGGTCCCGGACCCATTTCCGTAAATGCTGTTTGTGAGGCGGGGGCCAGCCTGTGCGTACTGCCTGCCAGAAGTTTATGAGAACGGGATTGGTGCTGGGACAACTGGGACTCTTCCCGGCCCCTCCGCCTACGTGCACGCGTGTTAGTGGGTGTAGCTTGGGTCTTGGGAGAGCCCTGGCCCCGCTGCCACCTCCCCTTGTGCGCCTGTTACCGAATTAAGTCCTGTGGACCCTGCTGGGGCCGCAGCAGAGTTGACATAGCACGAGTATTATTCAGTGGCCGAATAAATGGAACAGCGGGAGCTAAGTTCACAGCTGAACTTCTCACCCACCTGGCGAGGAGGATTTAATTTTAAAGGGAGGAGTGAGGTTAATGATTGGGAGGTACACGCATTAGCCTACTGGGGAAGGGGCAAGGCTTTTTTGAGGGAGTTGGGGGGGAGGACACCGTTTTTATCCTGTTTCGGTCTTTAATGTACTGGCCTCTGGTAGGTGTGTCATTTAATATGTTAATATAGTAAAATCAACACATAATGAGGTTCAGGGTCTGTTGGAGGTTGGATTTGCCGCCATCTTGGTCCCAGCTGGTTCCACTTGTTTTTTCCTTTGTGCGTGTGGCTTCGTCTCTTATCTCTGGACCCTTTAACTTACAGATTTATGTTCACTCCTGCTGAAGGTGTGGCGGGGAGGGTGGCAGGTTTTGAGCAAAGACCTGGCTTAGATCTGGCAACAAAATGCCCCCTTCCCTTGTTGCTGCTCCTCGTTCTTGAGGGGGCACTGAAGGGCGGAGGTTTGATTGCTGAAGCTGCTTTTTGCCGAACGTGGGTGTAGTTTTTTTCTGGATTTCTGACTAACCTAAAGTAAGTTTGATCGTCACCAAGATGCAGTCCCAGTTGCTTGTATTCTTGTGTTAGTATCATCTGAAGTTTGATGGTTTCAAGCCATTTACTAACGAAGTTGACAAGGCGGTCAAGGAGACAAGGCCCGAAGGTGAGCCGGTGTATGATAGCAGTTAGTGGGCCAAGCAGCGGAAGAAGCCAGTTCAGCTGCGGGGGCTCTGCGTGACTATATCCCAGATGGAGCCTGGTTCTTGACCTTGTGGTTTTGTTTTTTTTTTTTTGTGGTCCACGGGCCTCTCACTGCTGTGGCCTCTCCCATTGCGGAGCACAGGCTCCGGACGCGCAGGCTCAGCGGCCATGGCTTACGTGGCCAACCGCTCCGCGGCATGAGGGATCTTCCCGGACCGGGCCACGAACCCGTGTTCCCTGCATCGGCAGGCGGACTCTCAACCACTGCGCCACCAGGGAAGCCCTAATTTTCCTTTTTTATTTTTTTAAAATTTTTTTCGCAGTACGTGGGCCTCTCCCTGTTGTGGCCTCTCCCTTTGCAGAGCACAGGCTCCGGACGCGCAGGCCCAGCGGCCATGGTTCACAGGCCCAGCCGCTCCACGGTATGTGGGATCTTCCCAGACCCGGGCACCAACCCGTGTCCCCCGCGTAACCTTGTGTGTTACATCTATGTAACCACTGGGCTTGTTCATAGATCTCTTTTATGTTGACTTCAGTCTGACCAGAGTTATCGACGTACATGCAGCAGGTTTTATTCAAAACTGCGCAGACTCCCCTTTGCTCAGCCAGGAGATAGTCAAGGGCTAGCCTATTGTCGAGAACAACGTTTGCTAGTGAGTCTAGAGGAGTACGGGGTCCTTATAAGGCAACCTCCGTGATTTTAGACGAATTCTCAAGGGCCGGTGTGAGATCTTTTTTTTTTTTTTTAATTTATTTATTTTTGGCTGAGTTGGGTCTTCACTGCAGTGCGTGGGCTTCTCATCTTGGTGGTTTCTCTTGTTGTGGAGCACGGGCTCAGTAGTTGTGGCTTGCGGGCTCCAGAGCGCAGGCTCAGTAGTTGTGGCGCACGGGCTTAGTTGCTCCACGGCATGTGGGATCTTCCCGGACCAGGGATCGAACCCGGGTACTCTGCATTGGTAGGCGGAATATTAACCACTGCGCCACCAGGGTAGTCCCCTGGTGTGAGATCTTGTAGAGTGATTTCATGGTATGTGAGACCTCCCCAGGGGGCCACCAGTCGGAGAGCTATCCCTGCCCCTGCCAGAATGAGTCCCATTGTCCTTTGATCTCAGGGCTAGGTGATACCGATGTTATGAATGGTTATACCTAGGTTCCTAGAACTTGGCCGGCCTAGTGTGCATTGTTTCATAAATTGGGCATTATTTAAGCAAGGAGAGGCTAGAGCCCACCCCAGAGAAGGGAAGGAGTTGGGGTTGTTCTGATGGGGCAATTGGTTTATTCTCGGGCCACAAAGGAACCAGGTACCCAGGGGGAGCGCATGCCTAGCACACTTCTGAGGAATTGAACCACCTCCCTAAGTGGCTAGCCCAAGAGGGGGTTCCCTTGCAGTGTGAGGGGAGAGGCCCACCTGCGTAGCAGGGGTCATGGGGGGTTCTTGACTAGTGGCTTTTCCCCAGGCCTCAGCAGGGCCCCACGCTAAACCCGAGACAACTGGCGTCTTCCCTCCCCCATAAGTGCATCTCCCGTCTGGTCCCTGTGTGTATTCGTTGAGTGGGTGCAGAGGGCACCAGTGGGTGAGATTTCCATAGGAGTCAATCCCGCGGCACTGAAATTGTGGAGTAATGGAAGAAGCAGTGCTCAGAGTCCGGAGCAGCCCCAGGGCATTACTGCAAGCTTCTCCCTTTGGTGGGGGCTGCTGACATGGGCAGTGGCCGCAGGACCGCACTTTGGAGTGAGTGCTTTGTATTTGCTGGAGATGTTAATTTCAGGGATGAGCGCCAAGCAGGAAAGCTGCGTTCAAGAGGGGTAGGTTTAGCAGGTCCGTGAGCCAAGGTGAGAGTGGTGCTGTCATTCTTAGGGGCAAAATGCAACACCTTTCATCCACAGGCATCACCCTGTGGGTGGGGGTGACAGACCAGCACTGGGATAGAGTCTGTCCACAGGCTGTAATCCCCGAGAAATGGACTACTGCCTTAAGCTCTCGTTTCATGTGGACAATTATAAGGGACAGGCTTAGCCAGCTGCTAAGCCTGTCCACCACATTACTTATCTACCCGTAAGTTCTTCCTTTTGAAAAGTAACTTAAGGGCTATAACAGGTTCACAGGTGTATGGAGTGGGTGGCTCAGTAACTTCTTCCTCAGGTGTGGGAGCTGCCTTCACTGTGGTATGGTGGGTCCACGGGGCTGTGCCATGTAATTGTCAGGCAGTCTGAGTGGTCAAGATCACTAGCTAACCTGTCCACTTGGGGTCTAACTGGTCTTGTGGTTTTCCAGCCTTCTGGGTTCTCAAATAAACCCAATCCCCAGGGGAGAAACGGTGGAAAGTGATGTCAGAAAGGGAAGGCAGTTCCGGATCCCTGTAGGCGTGTAAAGCTTTGCTTATTTCCCCTTTCTGCAAGGTGTATTTCAGTCGCTTCATATCCCTCAGGTTGGTCTTGGAGCCAGGTCCTTCAGGAATGGGCCTCCAGTACATGAGCTCATACGGACTCAACCTGAGCTTTCCTTTGGGGGCTATTTGCATTCTTTTTTTTTTTTTTTTTTAATTTATAAATTCATTTATTTTGGGCTGCGTTGGGTCCTCGTTGCTGCGTGCGGGCTTTCTCTAGTTCTGGCGAGCGGGGGCTGCTCTTCGTTGCTGTGTGCGGGCTTCTCATTGCGGTGGCTTCTCTTGTTGCAGAGCACAGGCTCTAGGCACACGGGCTTCAGTAGTTGTGGCACGTGGGCTCAGTAGTTGTGGCTCTTGGGCTCTAGAGCGCGGGCTCAGTAGTTGTGGCGCACGGGCTTAGTTGCTTCGCGGCATGTGGGATCTTCCCGGACCAGGGCTCAAACCCGTGTCCCCTGCATTGGCAGGCGGGTTCTTAACCACTGCGCCACCAGGGAAGTCCGCTATTTGCGTTCTGAAAGGTGCTGTGGGGAGAAGGGACATCCAGGGTTGATAAGTGTCTGAGCCTAGTTTCTCTAAGTTTCTTTTCTTTTTTTTTTTTTGCGGTACACGGGGCTCTCACTGTTGTGGCCTCTCCCGTTGCAGAGCACAGGCTCCGGACGCACAGGCTCAGCGACCATGGCTCACGGGCCCAGCCGCTCCGCGGCACGTCGGATCTTCCCGGACCAGGGCACGAACCCACGTCCCCTGCATTGGCAGGCGGACTCTCAACCACTGCGCCACCAGGGAAGCCCTCTAAGTTTCTTTTGAGGGTTTGATTTGTTCTACTTTTCTTGAGGACTCTGGTGTCCAAGTGGAGTATAAACCCCATGTAATTCCTAGAGCTCTAGAGAGTCCCTTAGTAATTTGGGAAACAAAGGCAGGCACACTGTCACTCGGGATGGACTTGGGGAGCCCAAACCGAGGGATTATTTCCTTGAGCAGGGCCTAGGAGACCTCCAGGGCAGTCTTGGTTCAGGTGGGAAACACCTCGATCCGGCCGGGGAAGGTGGCAGTCACAGCCGGTAGGAGTCTGGAATTTCCTCGTGCCTGGGGCGTTACTATAAAACCAGCTGGCCAGTCCTGACCTGGACACGTGCCTTCATATTGGGTGGCGGTCGCTGCCTAAGTGTTGGGATTATTCCGGAGGCAGATAGGGCACGCTTCATCCCCGTTTAAGGAGATGGCGGAGATTGGGGGTAGTCGTGGACTTGATGAGCCATTGATACAGGCCTCCT